CCTGACGGGTTTGGCACAACCAAGTTTCAGAGAAGTCTGGCATTCAACCCTCTTCAGAAGACTCTGTCCTTTTACACTGTGGATCATATGGAAGACTCGATGCAAACAAACAATAGCACGCCAAAATACATCGACCCGGGAGGCCTGGGAGAATGTTCTTCAACTTCTACACACGGAATACCAGGCAGATTGGCGCCGAGCAAACAAGAATATCAGCGACGATCCCACAAAAAAGCAAATAATCATAGACAAATTCATCAAGGACAGGCTCAGAACAGGCAAACTCGGCACAATACAAGGTGACCCCCCCCGATTGTTATGGAAAAGGAGGGAGGAACAGCAAGGGAGAGACAGAACCACGGTCCTTGCCTCGTTGGAAATGGCACAATCACAAAACAGTTCAGCAGACATAAATTCAGCTTAGTGGTCTTACAGGACTATACTTTCACGTAAAAAAGGACTTGGTCTCCATGTCGGGGCGGAGAGTAGGGTTTAGGGTTTTAGAAGAGCGGACAGAGAGGAAGAAAGGTTCGGGGCTCAGAGCGGAGGAATAGCACAGGCCTTATCTCTTGGACTAGGAACTGGTAAATCAAGGCATCACTATAACTGAGGGTCTAGGGTTTAGGACTTGTACAAATAGGGTTTAGATTTGAAACCTTTCAAGGGAATCATACGCGTCCCAGAACACTCTGGTAAAACACACCTACCCGACAGTTTCAAACCAGAGAGGAGCAGAACTGGGATTAGATGGTTTGGCAAACTGAGATAGTACAGCCTAACTTAGGCAGGGGTGAGGGGTAGTACATCCTTCCTCAGGGAAGTATTCAATGCCGTCCACTCGGCCCTCCCAGCCATAATGGGGGGGAGCGTGCGTGTGTTTCTTATGCAACTACTATTGACTTGCCGTGGGAAAGGAACCGGACTGTTGCTCCCCAGAATGGTAGGAGCCAGAACCAAGAGGTTCTGTTTTGAAAAGAAAAAAAAAAGCGGTCAGCCTGGGTCAGGCCCTGCACGGCCACAGAAGTCAAAGAGTCGAAGCATTCCCAGGATTCAACCACAGCTACAGATCTCACACAACTCCAAAAGCTCAGTACAGTTTCCAGAAGTTTCAAGGCCCACTGGGTCTACGCACACACTGGTCACGAGCAACTCCAGGCTACACAGATTGGGAAATCACAGCCCTTCGAGGAGGCAAACCGAAGGCAGGCCAGGCTGAGTCAACACCACAAAAGAGTGGCCTGCCTCAGCTCGTTCATTCATTCTGCCTAGCGCTCCTTGCAGACTACACCGCTGCTGCTCAAGTGCCAGTGCTGGACAAAGGCAGACAGGCAGAGTGTGAGGATGCCACACACACACAGAGAGAGAGAGAGAGAGAGAGAGAGAGAGAGAGAGAGAGAGAGAGAGAGAGAGAGAGAGAGAGAGAGAGAGAGAGAGAGAGNAGAGAGAGAGAGAGAGAGAGAGAGAGAGAGAGAGAGAGAGAGAGAGAGAGAGAGAGAGAGAGAGAGAGAGAGAGAGAGAGAGAGAGAGTGGCAGCCATAGTGAATAGACGGTGCTGATGCACCATAGATGTGTGAGAGAGAAGAGGGGACTCAGGGGAGATATGAGGTTGAGTTCAAGGGTGGGGGAAAGAGGAAGCTTACCTGAAGAGTGTTAACGTGGAGTGTTCAGCCATAGCTACTGCAGAGAAGATTACTGGTTGCATCCAAGACTCAGAGGTGGCGTTGCCATCTAGAACTTGTCTGGCACCATAATGAGGAGGGTCAGCCTGTAAGGGGTGGGGATTGGAAGGAAGAGATAACCATTGTGCACGCTTACCTGTTGGCTGGCGGCCATAGCTACCTGAGGAAGAAGAATCCAAAAGGGGATACCAGCCTTCATCTTCTAGGACTTCGCTCTGTTGGTGCTTGTGCTACACTGCTACAGAGAGAGTGTTGCACTTGTACTACAGTCTTTCCCCGAATGCGACACACCCTCACCATAACCGCACCGGACTGGAAAGATAGCTTGTATACACTCATTATCAGGGTGCGTTCTATTCGGGGGAATACGGTAGACGTTGGTACGACTCGGAAGTGACGTCAGGGAATGAGAGGGAAGGTCACCATCGGTTCACGAAGGCAATGTGGTCGTGATTTGGGGGAAGAGGACTCCATGCTGCGGCCAAAGATTGACATAATCAGTTCGAGTTCCCGGTTCTTTGCACTAGCCGGAGAAAGACCAGCAGGCCCAGCACTGTAGAGAGGTTGACTTGCCATGTGACATTGTGTCTAGCCTCTAGACTGGCGCCGAGTCTGGTGGTGAAGGAGTGGAGAGATACAACCCACTAGCTGCATTTGAACGTTGCATTCGTTGTTTATAGTTTACAGTATTGCCACACTATTACTCTTCTTCTGGCCAGTGACACTGTCTTGTTGTTCATTGCTGTCTCAATTTGTTTCTTATTGAGTTGAGCCTTGTGAGTTCATGTGATATATGGTGGTGAGCTTCTGAGGTTGGGTACATTGCAGGGTATTCATCCAGTGCACTCATTTTGGGAATCGGAGTCCATTGGTCGAAGGAGTTCATTCCTTTTACATTTTTATTTTAAGAGGGGGTAGCTCCTAAGTTCCCAGCCTTGTTGTATCCATCTGATTCCACCAGGATTTGACCTCTCGACCTGTTCAAAAAACCGCCACTGGCCCTGACACCACTTTTAATTTAACGAACTGGCACATTGTTTCCTGGGCCTGATCCAGCAAACCAAACCCATGTGGGGCCTGTGGGCCTACCAATAGGCCGCAAGTAGGAAAAAATGGGTTCTTTTCCAAGTTTGGCCAACCCTACCGCCCACCTGTTTACTGCATGCCAAGTCAAGCATACACAATTTTGCGCATTTTCAAGCTGTCACCGGCAGTGGTGGACTGGTGGTTTAGCAGTTACATGATGTGGGTACTACCATTCAGCCACATTCAGTCTGAGCCTCCGAGAGTCCGAGGGAGTTCAATGTTACCTTGCGCCCGGGCAGCGCCCCACATAACATGTGGGAGCTGTCTACGGACTCTTAATTGCGGCTAGCATCTCATCCCAGGGAGTGCATCTCCTCCCTCCATGACCATCTCCAGCACTTTCCCGGATACTTCGATCACACAGAATCACACTACCATCAGAGATGAGCACACTTGCGACACAAGAAGGGATTGAAGGGAGGGGAGAGAAAAAATGAAAAAGAAAAAGAACTTGTCTCCACGTCCTGCGTTCACAGCAGAGGACTCCAAGTGACAGCACCTACGGTGACCTACCCCTTGCATTCCTCCTGGAGGCCCACTTTGTGGCGAGCCTACAACATGGGAGGATGTGTGCACGTGCGACTGAACAGAGTCAACAGACTCAATGAACACATACAGGAGCAGCAGCTGAGGCCTGGAAGAGTCCAAAGCGACCGGTAGAATGCCAGTTGGACAAATTTGAAAGACTTGGAAAGAGGAACACTGTATCAGTGTCGGGCCTACTACTGGTCCAGGAACAGCCCGCCAGTCCGGAGCTGGACCAGCATGATGTAGGGCCTTTTGTAGGCCGCTCTCCCAGAGCTGCCAATTGGACAAATTTGAAAGAGGAACAATGAAGCAGTGTACAGAGGACGGTCTGGATGCCGGGCTTACTACCGGTCCAGGAACAGCCCGGCGGTCCCGAACTGGACCAGCATGATGCAGGCTGCTCTCTGAGAGGAGTACCGCTACAGCTTTGAACTAGTCCATTAGATCTTCTCCCCATATATCCCAGTTGGCCTCACATGACTCTTTAGGGAGGTCATCTTAGACTCAGCTATACAAAGCGTCTTCCCATCCTCCATCATGAAAAGGGCCTCCCTGGCCCTCCCAACAAAGCTCCTTTTTTCCAAAGTTCCGTCAAAGTCGGGAATCTGATCGTGCTCCTTTGACAGGCAGACGGTTAGTGCCAACTTAGTGGGGTGAGAAAGTCTTGGATTTATGTTATTCTTTATTCTGTACTAATCTGTAGTCTCGCCTATTGTTCTAGAGTCGTGTCTATTGTTCTACCATTGACTCGGTCCTTCTCCTCAGCTTCGGCTTTGCCAGGCAAAAAACAGATGCCCAGGCCACCACTTCTCCGATGAAGCAAAGCCTTCTACCTTTGTCACTTGACACATCACTAATTTTGTCCAGGCTGTCCAGCTGTGTCATTAACGCTGTGGAACTGTACAGCTGTTGCATTGCGACACATAGGTTTGCGTATGCGATAAGATTTTCACTTTTCACATGACAAAACAGCCGGCCTTCTGAATCGCGGCTCCCGAGATTTTTTTGGGGGGAAAGGAATTTTATGATTCTTATGATCCTTACACGGGGGGGCAAACATTGTGATCGAGCACACCGTCAACGAAGTTGTCTTCCCTCAAACACAGTGCGACCTCATTATGACTGTATTCTACCGGAAAGATAGCTTGTATACATGCACGACCAGGATGCTGTGTTATTGGGAAGACGGTAGAGTGACGAGTAGACCAGGATGATGTGTTAGTGGGAAGACTGTAGTTTGCGACTCTGGCACTGTGCCAGTGTGCCCATGGTCCAATTGACCAGAAAAGGGGAGAAAACAAAAATACACCTGGTCAAGGCTCTGCAGCGTCTGAGCATCGATATAAATTTCTGAGGCCTCTGCATTGGCATGCAGGAACGGAAACTAGGAAAAAGCAGGAATTGGAGGTGAAGAGAGAGAGACTGTGTGTGTGTGTGTGTGTGTGTGTGTGTGTGTGTGTGTGTGTGTGTGTGTGTGTGTGTGTGAGAGAGAGAGAGAGAGGTTTATCCCCTTAAGCTACAAGGTTTAGAGGGCAAAGCGTTGCGCTTGTAATGCAATGGTCACCGGTTCAACTCCGATAGTAGAGGGTAACAATGAAATTTGATGTGAAATAGATTGACTTTCAAGTTTCAAATTAATTATGTCTGTAAACTTGTGTTTCTCAGTCAATAACTGAAACATGATTTGGAAAAGAAAAAAAAAAAACTTCTCCAATTTGATATTCATTCGTTTGACTCCAAATTCTTTTTGATTATTTGATATTCATTCGTTGACTCCAAATTCTTTTTGATTATTTGATATTCATTCGTTTGACTCCAAACTCTTTATAATTCTTTTTGATTATTTTCTATTCATTCGTTTGACTCTACCTATGACTGCAATTTCAACAAGATAATAGAAAATAAAAAGCTAGAAAATTATTGCACTGTTCTTGGAGTACTTAAGAGAGAACAGGAGAAGGTGACGGCGCGCGCGCGCGCGCGAGAGAGAGAGAGAGAGAGGAGTCTCAGAGTATTAAATTATGAATGCACTTGTGTCCATGAGAGGTTGATTGATTGATCGATTAATATCTCTACCCTGGCTGAGAGAGCATGGCGTAGTCGTCGAATCTCCTTCCTCCGTTCATTCTGTGCAGCTGCAGCAGCCGCTGCTGATACGGCCACGATCAGTACTCGTTGAAGGGGCGCGAAGCCCTGCCAAGCAATGCGGGCATCCGCTTCCACTGACGGGCTGTCAATGACCAGGCTGTCCACCCCTTCGAGACCCATCAACCTACCATCGAGAGACCACCACGCCATTTGCCCTCCTCCTCCTCCTCCCTCTCCCTCTCCTTCTCCCCCTCCCTCCTCCGAGCAATTACCGTATTTTCCGTCATGTATATCTCGACGCCGACCCCAGAATGGCCCTCCTCCTCCGCTGCCCCCCTCCCCCCCCTCCCGCCCCTCATCGCTATCTCTCGCGAGCAATCCGAATGCGGGGTCGAAGCCAGAGCAGGGCGACTTGTTGCTCGATCGGTAATACCGAGGCCGGCTCCATGCCCCTCCTCTTCTTCCTCCTCCTCCTCCTGTTGCGGTTCCTCTTCCATCTACTCCTTGCCCAAGGTAGTTTGCCTTCCTCCCTTCTCCTCTTCCTCTTTTCTTGCCTTTGGCGCTACCAAACTCCGTGGGAGCCTTAAAGGATCTCTCGCAAGAGCTGTCGCATCGCCTCCTGCTTGCCGTCAAGCCCAACTGCACCAAGCAATTCCTTGGCCAGAGCCCGCCGACTCTACACGCACTTTCCGAGAATAATCTCTGAACTGTCGTCCCCAGTCCGTGCGAGGTATTTGGACAACTCTCGCTGTCCGATTCCGTTAAAATGCTCCCATCCTCCAATACCTCCTCTATTCTCGCACTCCCTCGCCGTCGCCTTCCCCCTCCCCCTCCCCCTCCTCCACCTCCTCCTCCTCCTCCATGGTCCTCTCCGCCCCGCGCGCTGTAAGTTCCCATGTTCCCTGTACTACCAACCACGAGTCACCTCTTACTCCCCTCATAAAGGGGGCTCGCACTTTCCCGCCCCCTAACCCCCCTGCTTTCCCCCTCGCATCGCGATGAGGCGCGCGCTCACACACACACACACACACACACACACACACACACACACACACACACACACACACACACACACACAG